CAAAAGACGAAGCAGCAGCAGCAGGAGACGGTGCAGCAGCAGCAGGGTCCTCGAACTCTACGGGCGGGGCGCAAAACGCCCAGGGGGCCTCGGGGGCCTCCGGGGGGGCCCCCCAGGGGGCCCAGGGGGGCCCCCAGGGGGCCCAGGGGGCCCCCAAGGAAAAGGAGACAGTGCCACTGACGCCGTCGGTGCTGCAGACGCAGCTGGACTTGGAGTGCGAAGTGGCTTTCCCCGGGGAGGGCCGCATGGCCGCGCGGGAGGTGGAGGGGACAGTTTACTGTCTCCTTTTGGAGTCTCTAAATCTGCAGCAAAAGGGGACTTGTCTCGACGTTTGTCTCCAGCCCTTCAACTGCCCCGGCAAGCCCCGCGAGGGCGCCAAGAGACACTTGCTCGCCGTCGACAGACACGAACTCCTCAGGCACTGGTGCAGTGAGTTCCGCGCAGCTAGCTAGCTAGCTAGCCACCCAGCTGGCTAGCTAGACGGCTAGCTAGCTAGCCGCGCAGCTAGCTAGGTATGTAGTCAACTAGCTGCGTAGCCAGCTAGCGAGCCAGCCAGCCAGACAGATAACTAGCTAGCTAGACAGCTAGCCGGCTAGCTGGACAGCTAGCTAGCTAGCTAGCTAGACAGCTAGCTGGCTAGCTAGACAGCTAGCTAGCTAGCTAGCTAGGTAGTTAGCCAGGTGGCTAGCGGGCGTGCGTGCGGGCTGGCGGGCTAGCTGGCTAGTTAACTATTCGCTAGCCGGTGGGAGGGCTGACTAGCTAGCTGGGCAGCTAGCTGGGCAGCTAGCTGGGTAGCTAGTTAGCTGGTTGGCTAGCTGGACAAGTAGCCAGCTAAGGAGCTAGCCAGCTAGCTAGCTCAGTGGGCAGCTGGCCAGGTAGCTGGCTACCTGGCTAGCTAGCTCAGGAGGCAGCTAGCTAGCTGGTAACTTGCCGGGCACCCCAGTGAAGCAGCTAGCTAATCAGTCAGCTAGCTACTGAGCGGGCGACCAGCAAGCTAGCCAGCTGTCTAGTTAGCTAGCTTGCTAGCTGTCTATCTAGCTAGCTAGACAGTTAGCTAACTAGCTAGCTAGACAGCTAGCTAGCTAGACAGCTAGCTATATAGCGCTAAACAGCTAGATCGACTAATTCGACAGGCGCACACAGGAGGTAGGTTGGAGAGAGTCAGCTAGCCAGCGCTGGATCCGCTGGCTAGCCAGGTAGCGGCCATTGGCTGCGCAGCTAGCTCACCAGCTGGCCAGCTAGCTAGCCAACCAACTCACCAACTAGCCAGCTAGCCAGCTAGCCAGCTAGCCAGCCAGCCAGCTCATCAGCTAGTTAGCTAGCCAGCTAGCTATCTAGCCAGCTCTCCAGCTAGCTATCTAGCCAGCAAGCCAGCTCGCCAGCTAGCCCGCCAGCTAGCTGGCTAGCTAGCTGGCTAGCTAGCCAGCTAGCTAGCCTGCTGTGTGTTGAGCGTGGGATGTGTTGCTCAGCGACGTCGGAGCTGCAGCGAGCGGCGGACCGTCACTTCTGCGGAGACAGCGCAGTGGTGCGGCTGATGGATGGGTCCGCAGCAGCAGCAGCAGCAGCAGCAACAGCAGCAGAACAGTGGGTGTGTCTCCCTGTCTCCGAAGAGATGGAGTTCATCGAGAGTCTCCACTGTGTGGGGTCCTGCGGAGAGTCAATGCGCTGTCTGTCTCCAAAGGCCGCTCTTCTCCTCAAAGGCCCTGGAGACTCTTTTCACTCTTTCGTCAAATCCAAAATTCCCCCAAACTGCAGTCAGCCCCAAACACTGCATGCACTCGCCTGCATGCATGCATGCACCTGCATGCATGCACACACCTGCATGCATGCACACACCTCCACGCATGCACACACCTCCACGCATGCACGCGGCTGTGTGCACTGGTTGCAGTTTTGTTGATGAAATGCGTGCATGCACGCATGCATGTATGTATGCACGTCTGCATGCAAGCATGCATGCATGTATGCATGCACGTCTGCATGCATGCATGCATGCATGCACGCATGCATGCATGCATGTGCGAATGTTGTGGGCAGTGTCCAGGTGTCAGAACGTGCAGTGAGTAGTTCTTTTAATTGCAAAAGTGCAAATAGAAGGCCAGCTGAGCAGCCACTTGTAGAATTGCCAAAGTGTGAAACTAAAAATAAACAATAAAACTTGTAGAATTGCCAAAGTCTAAAACTAAGAATAAATAACAAAACTAAAAACAAATAGTTAAATGGATATTGCCTTGCGTTTGCATTTGCAAAAGAGCAAAATGGGGGCGAGAGCGGGTCGCTGCGGTGTACGTACACCTGAGGTGTACGTGCAGCTGGGGTGTACGCACAGCTGAGGATACAGCTGTGGTGTACGCACAGTTGGGGTGTACGCACAGCTGAGGAGCTGGGGTGTACGTCCAGCTGGGGTGTACGTCCAGCTGGGGTGTACGTACAGCTGGGGTGTACGTGCAGCTGGGGTGTACGTACAGCTGGGGTGTACGCGCAGCTGGGGTGTACGTACAGCTGAGGAGGCGGGGTGTACGTACAGGTGCATGCGGCTGCAGGCTGCCGAGAAGGGACAGGAGGAAAAGGTTATGTGGGGTGTCAAACGCGGACGCGTTTGGGGCGGGAGTGTCAGAACTGGAGTGTACAGACACCCCACAAGCACGAAGTGCTGCAGCAGCAAAACCACAACTTCTGCAGAGCTGCTGCAGGGGCCAACTACATTTGGTGCTTCACCACGGACCCGGACTTGCGCTCCGACGTGTGCGACCCCCTCGGTGAGCTGCAGCAGCAGCTGTCTCCGAAGGAGACACTTGGGGACGGGAGGCACTTGGGGAGACACTTGAAGCCCCTAAGGAGACACTTTGGGGACACCTGGGCCTTTGAGACACACCTGAGGGGCATTTAAGGAGACGCTTCAGGAGACACCTGAACGCGCACTTGAGGCGACGCTCGAGGAGACACCTGCTGCTGCTGCTGCTGCTGCTGCTGCTGCTGCTGCTGTGCAGGCCCGCGGACGCAGCTGGTGCAGCCGGGGGACTTGTTCGACATCGTGCTGGAGGGACGGTTTGCGGGGCCGCACTACGACATAGCGTTTTTCAAAGCTGAAGAGGAGACAGGAGACCCCTGCGGGGGCCCCGAGGCCTCGCCCGACATCACTGTGCAGAACGCGCCCCACAGCCTTGCCAAGAGACTCTTTCCCTTTGTCTCCAAGGGGACACTTGCTGCGCTGGTGTGGAGCAACGTGCAGGTCAAGGCCGCGGCCTTCGGGGCCTACGCAGTTTGTCTCTGCAGCTTTTCTTACTTCCTCGCTCAGGACCCCAGGTGCTCCAAGCCCCAAAACTACTCCCTGCATGCGGGCTGGCTCCACGTCCGAGGTGCGGCCCCGCGCGCATGCAGCCCCGGCGCCCCGCGCGCATGCATGCCGCGTGCATGCGGCCCTGCATGCGTGCATGCATGCATGCGCGCATGCGTGCATGCGCGCATGCGTGCATGCGTGCACGGACGCATGACCCCACACACGCACACGCGCATGCATGCGTGCGTCCTCTGCTGTACAGACAGCCCGTGCCCGCGCAAGCGCATGCATGCGTTTTGTCCTGTAGAGACACCCCACACGCAGACGGCCTGCATGCATTTCGTCCTGTAGAGACACCCCACACGCAGAGGGCATGCATGCTGGCGTGCAGAGACAGCGCGGAGACAGCAGCTGCGGTGTAGAGACAGCGCGCCGGGAGACGCAGGGCTGGGGTGTCTGTACAGCGGGGCGCGGGGCCGGCGCGGGGTGTACGTACACCGGAAGCTGCGCATGCGCCGCAGGCCCGTTCGCAAGGAAAACCATTTTTGAAATGGAGGCGGGAGAAGCGCGGCAAGTGAGTTTGGGGGGCTTTGGGTTTTCAAAAGGAGACAGTGTCTCCGTGATGGCCGCGGACTTCGACTGCGACGCAAGTGTCTCCACGTTCGCAGAAGCCATGCAGAGTCTCCTTAGCCGGGGGCCCCAGTGGCAGCGGGACTTGGCGGGGGCCCTCCAAATGGGGACAGCCACTGCAGCAAACCTCGAGCCCGTTTCTGTGGACTCTTCGGAGACAACCACAACTCTCCATCTCCCCGAGTTCACTCTCTACAACACTGGCGTCTACGCCGCCTGCTGGAGACCCAAAAACCTCTCGGTCTCCGTCACCGCCGCCTACTTCAACGTCTTCGGTCAGCCCCAGGGGGACTTGAAGGGACTTGGAGGGACTTAGAGGGGTTTGGGGGACTTGGAGCGACTTAGAGGGGACTTGGGGGGGCTGAGGGGACTCAGGGGGGACTTGGGGGGTTTAGGAGGACTCAGAAAGTCTAAGGGGGCTTAAGGGGACTCTGGGGGGCTTGGGGGGACTTGGAGGGACTTGGAGGGACTTGAGGGGACTTTGAGGGGACTCTGAGGGGACTTGGGGTCTCTTTGGGCCTGGAGGGTCCCCTGGGGACTTGAGGGCTTCTAGACTTGGCGGAGGTGTCAGTACGGAGCTCTGGGGTGTCTGTACACCTGGAGGTGTCTCTGTGGAGTGTCTGAGGACCTGTGTCTCCTTTTGAGGTGTCTAGCCACCTGGGGAGACGTCCCCAGTTCTCTCTTGGCCCTGGTCTTTGTCTGTACCCCTCAGGGGCGTGT